CTCGCTCAGGACTTGGCGGATGCCTGCACGACATACGCTGATCTCCAGCGTGACGCCGCTCGCTATCGGTTGGTCCGCCATGGCGGCCTTTGGTACCACGGCGATCAGGTCTTCGTACCTCCCTCTCTGCGTTTACGCATCATGGAGGCGGGTCACTGTCCCTCCTATGCCGGTCATTTCGGGGAGACGAAGACGGTCGACTTTATTCACCGTTATTATTACTGGCCCCACAGCCGTCGAGACATCGCGGCGTTCGTGGCAGGGTGTCATACATGCCAGGTCTCCAAGCCTCGGGCCGGTCCCTCCACGGGGGAATTACAACCTCTCCCCATTCCGGATCACGAGTGGGCCAGTGTTTCCATGGACTTAATCGTTCAGCTCCCTCGGACCACTTCTTTCCCTCACTACGACGCCATCGTCGTTTTCGTCGATCGATTGACCAAAATGGTCCACGTCGAGCCCACCCACAGCGCGATTGACGCCGCTGGCCTGGCCGACATTTTTATGGAGCGTGTTCATCGTTACCATGGGATTCCCGAGTCTATCATCTCGGATCGCGGCCCCCAGTTCACTTCGGCCTTCTGGCAGGCCTTATTGGCTCGCCTTGGTGTGCAGCCCCACCTCTCCTCGGCCTATCACCCCCAGACTGATGGCCAGACGGAGCGCATGAATCGCACTTTGGAAGACATGCTCCGGCGGTACATTGGGGCTGCCCATACCGACTGGGATCGCCTTCTCTCTTGCGCTGAGTTCGCCATCAACAATGCGAAACAAGAGAGTACGGGTTACTCCCCATTCTTTCTCAACTACGGGCGTCACCCTCAGACCCCTTTCTCTCAGTCGCTGCCCCTCAAACAGCGCACCTCGCTGCCCCTTCGCAGCAATGGCCGCAGCCTCCAGCGTCGGCCCGCCAAGGCTTGGGCTCAAGCCAACTTGCCTCAAATTCCCGGGGTCCCTGCCTTCCTCCAAGATCGGGAATCCGCGTTGCGCCGCGCCAAGCAGTGTTTACAGAATGCCCAACAGCGCATGAAACACTGGGCCGATCTTCGACGGAAGGCAGAGTCGTTTCAAGTGGGGGATCTGGTGCTTCTGTCCACCCAGAACCTCCACTTGAAACATCCCGGTACCAAGAAGCTCTTGCCCAAGTGGCTGGGTCCATTCCGGATTCAGACGCGCATCAATCCCGTCGCTTTCCGGCTGGACCTGCCTGTCGCCCTGCGCCGGTTGCACCCAGTCTTCCATGTTTCCTTGCTGCGCCGGTACATCCAGGGCCATTCGGTGTTGCCTCCTCCTCCTCCCCCGGTGCTTTTGGATGAGGAGCTTGAGTATGAGGTCGAGGCCCTCCTCCAGAAGACCATCGTCCGGCGTGGTCGCACCAGTCAGCCCTACTACTTGGTTAAATGGAAGGGCTATGATATGGGTCACAATTCCTGGGAACCTCTCCGCAACCTCACCCACTGTGAGGAAGCGTTGCAGCGCTTCGCACTCCAGGCTCAGCAGGACCCTTCGCTGATTCGTTCGCCCAAGGAGGCCTTTCAGCCGCCGCTTCGGCGCCCTCCGCCATCTTCGCGCTAGCCCTTGGCTGGTCCCCCTGCTCCTCTTGAGCCCCCCGTTTTGTGTATTGTTTTGCAGCCCTCGTCTCCGGCTGGATGAGCCTGCTCCCCCCTTCCCCGCTGTTCACCAGGCGGGGGTACTCACGGGACGCTCGATGGATCACTCGCCTGATTTGGCTGGAGCAGCGGGATCCTTGATCCCCCCCCTGCCTTCGGGGAGTACCTGGGGGACCTTTCTCCCCTTTCTTTTTCTCTTGCCCTTCCCCTCCTGGCCATTCAGGGGTTGCGGCGCGCATTGGGGACTATTGCGACCCCTATAGGGTGCCCGCACTGTCTCTTCTTGCTTGGTACAGGTTTAGAGGCCGGTGCTACAGGATTCTCCACGGATTCTCGGAGGGGGGATGTGCTGGACATGCCACCCCCTCCTTTGTTCCTCACTCCTTGTTATGCCTCTTGCCCATCTTGGGGGGGTGCAGTTTCGACTGTACTCCCCTATGTGTGTGTGCCTCTCCTGTCCCGGGCCTTCCCGGGAACCACCTACGCCTTCTTCTGGGTTGCCCATGGTTGCCTCTATTCGGAGTCCCGCTATACCGTGAGCTCCCAGGCCACTACGCCCGGCCTTGTCCGACGCATCCTTCTTACCCACCTCCTTTGGGTTCGGCACATCACTGGTGCAAAATGTCATTTCCCCTTTGCGCACCCCGCTGTTTCCTTCGCGGCTCCTTCCCGCGCTATCTCGGCTGTTCGTCGCCCCCGCACTCTCTTCGCCCCCCGTCCCTTCGGCGGGCTTCTGGCGCCACCTCCCCCCCCGTTCACTGTACCTCCCGCTTCTCGCATCAGATTGCCCAGTCCTGTCTTCCTCGGACAACCAATCGTCGCGGGTCGCGACTTAGGGGGGGGGGGGGGAGTGATGTACCGCACTAACCGGTACCCGGGGATACCGGCGACCCCCTACAGTAACCGGCCCAAGAGGGCTACGGTTACTATAGTGTAGGGGTTAGGGTTGCCACACCGGAACTAGGGCGGTGGCCACCGGTACCTGGGGTACCCCCAGGTACCGGCGCTTGGGTGTGGCCCCAAGTACGTAGTACTTGGGGTCCGGTGCTGGGTCCCGGCTTAATGGCCTTCGAGCGCCCGTACTGGCAGGCTTCTCTCACCCCCTGTTGCGCGCTGCCGCGCAACACCACGGCCCCATGGCTGTGCCTCGGTCGCGCAGCGCAATCTTTTGGCATTGCTCTGATTTCTCAACGTGGAGCTTCTTGGCATGTCCCTCTGAGCCACCAGGTCTGGTTTTGCTGCACGCGCATGGGTTTCCGAGCCGTTCTGGGTGGCGAGGAGGCGACAGTGGAACTCTAGTACATTGCGGCGAGTGGCACCTCGTTGGTGTTTCCATGGTCCTGCGTGGGTTTTTGTACATTGCCTAATGTGGAGAATGGTGCTTCTGGCCTGCTTTGAGCCTACGGTGGCTATGCTGACAGGTCTTGTGGCCCCTCAGAGTGTCCTGGGTCCTTGTGGCATCACTCTGGTGGCAGGGAGGTGGTGTCACTGACGCTCTCAGTCATCCTGGGCTGAATCTGGGCTACTTGCCACTGGTCCTGGGCCTCAAGGGGCGCCAGTTGAGTGTCACTAATGGGGCTTTGTCTATAATGTAATCTTTCTGCATTAATTGGCGCCCCGAACACTATTGTGTTGTGACTATCCTTCCCTATCCCTGTGTCCCCTTTTTTCTTCAGTGCTGATTTCTATTTCTCCATCCTGATTATGATTCCCCAGCCAAACGTTCCCCTTCAACACCACTTTCGCTGAACGGGAGTCAGGGTGAAGAGTAGTCCTGACGAGAGTGTGATTCAGCCGCTTTCAGTCTGGGGCCATTTCATTGTCCAATCTTCTTTGCAGCCTAAACAATCATGTTTACTTCCCATTGTCCATATGTTGAGGTGCAGTAGCCGTCGTCCGTCACACCAGTGAAGCCATTCTCCTTTCCACATGAAGGGGCGCCGCTCAACCGGTTTATAGACAATGATGTCTTACATAATCCTTTTTCCAAAATGAAGTTGCTGGTTCCCATTATTGCACGACCCTTACACAAGATAGTTAATTATACTTACGCCGATCTTGTGCCAAATGTGAAACTTGTTAGTGTCACATATCTGCATGCCAGATCTGCCCGCCAGCCCACAACAGCCCACGAGAATTGGAATTCAGCTTGCCGAAACCGAGATGTTGTGGTTCCCAAAATATTAGAAGCTTAGATATTTGAATGCTTCAGCTTGGCTGATCAAAAGCGGGGCAATCATGGCAATGGATTCATGATTGTTGAGCAGTACTTTGGTTCTGAGGAAAATTTCGAACCCACGTCCCTTTCTTTCGTGATTCGTTAATGAAAATCAAATCCACGCCATCCCGGAGCCTCAAACTCCAGTGACGTCATGAGGGCACCACATATCGCGGTATGAACATAACCAAAGAAAAATGACATTTCCCACAGGGGTGGCCCAACAACTGCGCACAACAGCTTCTGTTGCTCTCATTTTCTGCATCAGAGCAGGGCATGTGCGGGGGACCAAACGCTGCATCTCATAATAAATGATGTAAACGTGATCGTGACTCGGCAACACAGCAATACAGCTACCCGGAACCCGATGTCCTGTCATGTCATTATCTCTGGTGCGCAAAAGTGCCTCAGTTCGCTTCCGCCATGCTTCTGGGGCGAAGGTACCAGGAGCACCGAAATGAAAATGTAGGCAATGCAGCATGGGCATACACCCAATCATTGCAATCTCATCCCCGAGCCTCCACTGAAGGGAAAATTCAGAACAGCAATTGACTTCGTTCTATTATGGCAAAATTATCACCGTGGCCAGCTTCTGTCGTATACCTCTACCTGGTGTTCTGCTCCAGCCACTGTTGTACACAACTACCACTACTGCTTCTGCTCTAATTGTTGGCCGCCCCGAAGTTCTTCCATTGCAATGAAAGCACCACAGCAGCCACAAAACATGACACACAATTGCCTCAACGTGCAAGAGAGCCGGCAACAATCTCCAGAATGATGCCCCATCACTGGCACACGTGTATGGAGGGAGCGTGCACCAAATCCTTTCTACCACTACCTTGACTTCGCACTCCAGCAATCTACGTCTACTGAACCAGTTCTCTGAAATTCGACTCGAAAACCCCAATCAATTCTCCTCATCTCCAGTTCCATACACAGGCGCAGTGTAACATCCTCTTCCATCATTGCACTTATGACAAGCCCATCTTCCAGCCCTGGCCCTGAGCCCTGCAGTAGGACTTCTGCCTGAAGGCTCTTGTGAACACATGCAGCCACAACACAGGCACCAACACCAGTCCATAGGGCGATGGAAGGGCCTAATGCCACATAATGTTCCAAACAGGCCCCACGTTCTTTTCCATTGAGTGTCATCAACCCCACACAACTGCTACTCAGGAACTGACCAAATTCTTCTGCAGCAAAGTGGCAGTCGCACACATAGGACCTTCATTGGCTTGCACAACCTGCAAGATGTCTGCTTTCTCTTCAGGCGCTTCTCCAGCGCTTTTGCCACCGCTCCACAAGCGGTAGTCAGTCTCCTGCGGCCGTCTGAACTTGAATGGCACTGGCACCTTGCTCGACGGCCCTGTTTTCCCCCTCACCTGCCTTGCAGGCCCTGCAGACCTCAACGATGCCAAGCGTGCGCGGAAGTCTTCGTTGGTCTGCCGTCCCTGGTGGACTGGTCGAGCTCCTGGTTCCTCTTCCTTCCACACGCTTGTATCCCCATCTTCACAAGGTTCAGATGCCCGCTCGCAGCTGTTGTAAACACTCGAAGACTTGGCTGTCCTGAAGGAGATGCTGGCAGCCACGCTACTGCCTCCCTGAGTGCTGACACCCTGAGGGTTGCTTCCTTGGGGAACACCTGCCTGACTACTGTCAACCTCAACGCTGGCCTCCTCTATGCTGCCTGCCTGAGGTCTGCCTTGCCGAGAGTTGCTCCCAGAAGACCCACCCCGAAAGCTGCTCCCAGGAGACCCACCCCGAAAGTTGCTCCCAGGAGACCCGCCCCGAGAGTTGCTCCCAGGAGACCCTCCCCCCCGAGTGCCGCTCGGCTGAGCAGCATCGTTTTTCAGCACATCCGCTCCCTGGGAGTGTGTGACAGACTTCTCAACACTCCAGGCGATGTTGATGTGCTCCTTGTCGCTGCCACTGTGATGATCTTTGTCCGTCGACACATTGACAGTCACCACGCACTGGAAGGGGTCAACATACGCCTGGCTGAGGTGGATCCCCTCCTGTCCCTCTTTGCCAGACGATCCTGAATAGTACATGCTGCCCTCTATTTCTTCCCGCTCTTTGGCTGGCAGGAACATCGCATGAGGGTACTTCATCATGCTCTGAACATCCAAGGTGGGTTGGGGCTGAAGGTTGTCTTTGGAAAGGGAGGCGCTGGCTCCAGAATTGTCAGCAACAGATACCCCCACCTTGTCAGCAACCATTTTCACGATGTCTGCAGCCGTCATTCTCCCTAGTCCTCCAGCCAGGGTCATGTTTTCATGGCGCACGTCGTCGAGATTGGAATACATCCCTTCATCGAACTGCTTCTTCAACGCTTTCAGAACCCTCACGATGAAACGGAAGTCTGGCCGGTTCTCGGGCTGCGGAGATATGCACACCACGCACAGCATGGCATAGGGAATCGGGCAGATGATGGGGAATTTGGGAAATAGGGGGTGGTACTGCAGCCCAGATTTCTTGTTCATATGGTAGCACTTCCTGGAGTGGTAAAGCTCCCACAAGAACACGCCCATAGAGAACACGTCCGCTTTCTTCGACAGCACGCCCTGGTGGCACAGCTCTGGAGAAATGTAGAATGGTGTCCCTGCCCGCTGATTGGAGATGTGGCTCTGCAGCTCCCCGAGCTTCATACTCAACCCAAAGTCCGCAATCTTGGCGGTGCCCAACGACACCTGGTCGTTGGGGGTCGTCTTGAGCAGAATGTTCTTTGATGACAGGTCGCCGTGGATGATGTTTCGGGCATGGAGGTGGCGCATGCCCAGAGCCGCCTCCAGTCCAATTTGGCACACTACCCCAAACATGGGCTGTTCCGTCACTGGGTCCAGGATCCGCCTCTTGTCCAGGCACTCCCTCAGGCTGCCCCTGTCACAGAACTCCTGCACAATGTACAGCTTCCAGTCCACCGTGCCTCCCATCGACTCCGTGTTGATGATGCGGTGCTTCCTCTTCTCTGGGGGCTGTATGGTGGTGGCCTCCAGCCGCTTGAACGAGTACGAGTACGTCTGCACAATGTTCCTGTGCGCCACGCTGGAGCTGATCGCCGCCTCCAGTACGGCCCTCTGCCTGGGCCGGCTGGTCACGTCCTCCAGGTCCTGGAACACCACCGTCTTGATGGCCACCGGGACGCCCTTCCACGTCCCCTTGTACACCACCCCGCAACCCCCCACCGCGATCCGCTTCTCGATCTTGGCCAGCGTGTCATCCAGGCCTGCGGATTCTTCCGTGATGGCGTCGATCAGCGACTCCTTCGTGAACGACCTGCACTGGACGCTCACCGACTCCCCCTCCTCCTCTTCCGCCTCCCTCCCCAGCTCCATCCTCTCCTCGTCGTCGCCCTTCTCGCCGCCGGCGCCCGCCCGCCACCCCGACATCTTCCTGCCCACGCGATACTCCCTGCCGAGCTGGGCCAGCGGGTCCGGGTCCCCGGGCTTGCAGGCGCGGCAGCTCAGCTTCCTCTTCCACACGACCGCCAGCGCACCGGCTATGATCACCAAGAGGGCGCCCGCGCCGGCCGCGACCGCCTCCTCCGGGATGCTCTTGGCCACGGAGTTGCGGTGGCCCAGCGCTTCGATGGCCTCCAGCTCCGTGGACACGCTGTCCGAGCTCTGCGCCAGGTCTGAGGACGTCACGCCGTAGTCTGAGGAGTCCGTGATATCGTCGTAGGACGACGTGACCTCGTAATACACCTCGCTGTAGGCGTCGCTGTAGCTGCTGGTCTCGCCAGACGTCTGGGTCATCAGGCAGTGCGGCAGGGTCACGTTGGCCACGTCCATGGGCTTGCAGGTCAGCGTGACGTTCTCGGCGCAGATGCCCCAGCCCACGAAGCGGCGCATGACGATGGTGGTGTTGTCCACCTGTTCGTGCTCGGCCAGGCTCACCACCTGGTTCAGGACCTGCACCAGGCCCGTCTTGTTGCCGATCTCGTTGCGCTGCACCCACAGCAACTTGAGGAGTGTCTGCACGTAGTCGCAGCCGTGCACGGCGGTCATGTCCTTGAGCACAAGCGGGCAGCCCATCTGCTGCGCCGTCGCCAACTGCACCACGTTCTCCACGTTGGTTAACGCCTTCACGGCCTCCTCCGCGCTGTCCGGCAGCGGGCTCGTGGCGTTCAGGTAAGTGAACTTCAGGCTAGGGTTGTGGTAGTTGGCGCCCTCGTATCGCACCTGGTACTGCACGTCCAGGAAGCCCTGTGGCAGCGGCTTGGGGAACAGCAGCCACGGACTGGCGCCCCCCAAGCCCGTGAACGTCACCGGCCGCCGGATCGCCACGCCCTTGAGCTTGTTGATCGCCCTCATCAGGCACCGTGTGATGCTGTAATTGCCCTCCACCGTCACGCGCAGCGGGTCGTGCGTGGGTTCTCTCGCCTGGCGCAGGCGCGCGAAGTTGCGCGACTGCCGCACGGTTAGGAAGTCCCGCTGCGGCGACGCGGGCTGCGCCTTGCGCACCTCCACGCGCTCGAGGATCGCCCCCGGCAGCTCCACGAAGCCGATCGCCATGCCGTCCTGACCCACGGTGGCGCTGGCTCCCGCCCCCACCCCGACCCGCCGATTCACCGCGTCAGCCAGCGACGCGAAGGCGCCCGGGGACACGTAAAGGTCCACGTCCACGTAGCGCACCACCCCGCCAGACTCCACCTCGAACAGCGCCGTCTCCACGCCCGGCCCGCGGGCCATGAACGTCATGTCGTATGTCAGGTTGCACCACGTCAGTGTGGCGTTCACCGACGCCACCTTGAACGCCTCCAGGCCCTCCACCACAACCCCCCGGTGCGCCCCGCACACCGACATGTCCGAGCGCACCCGCAGGAGCGGCACGAAGGACAGGCGGTCCAGCAGGATGTCCTGCGTCACGACCACCTGGCCGCTGTGCCCCGCCTTGGGCCACAACGTCGCCTGCAGCGCCATGGCGGTGGAGACAAAGACCGTGCCGTTGGGCGCCACGTACGACCGGGCAGCCACCTCCCCCCCCTTGTGCTCCTGCGCCGCCGCCCATGCGAACAAGCACGCCAGGATCGCCCCAACGCGAGGCCAGCGCCGGCCAATCCCTCCCCGGCCCATGACGCTGCTCAGAGCGGCGGCACGCCCGGCGCTAGCAGTGCCCTCGGGGCATGGGGCGCTGTGTTCGGGTCTCAAGCTCGCTCAGGGCAAGCCGTTTGCGTTTTAAGGGCGGCGGGAGGGCGGGCAGGGAGGAACTGGGGGGCAACGCAGGCCTGTGCGCGCCAATCGCTGCGCAATCGCGATCCGGGCGGTACCGCATTCCATCAGTAATCCGTACTGTGCAACGAGGGGTCCCTGATCGCGGCTCCGCCACCGGCCATCGCCCGCCGTGGTGCTGACGGATGGTACCGTGGGCCCGCGGCGGGCCACCACATGCAGCACCGAGGGGCGTCTGGTGGCTCATCACACTGACACCGGTGCATCACGTGACTGCTGTCATGATAGGCATGGCGTTATGCTGTCGGACTGTGTGCTCCCGGGCTTGTACTGGCGGGCCCTGGTGGGCAGGCTTTCGATGCTCGTCGCTTCCCCCGCCACTCTCGCGTGTGGCCATCGCGTCATACAGCATGGGAGCTCTACGTGGCAGGGTGAATGCAGATGTGTTTCCCGCCAACACCCAACTAGAATAATGTACAAGGTATACCACACGCGCAAAGTGCAATGAAAACGGAGTGCCGCGGAGGGGGCGATGGACATGTTGAATGTCAGGTGCGAAGGCAAAGCCAGTGAAACATTTCACCCTTTAAAGGGTGAAGGTGTGAAGGCATTGTGGTGACGTGGTGGTACCTCTTTCGCTGATGTGCATGCTGCTTTGGTGATGGTGTTTGATGTGTGCCAACTAGTGTGATGGAGGAGGGGGAGTACGGTGCGGGCGGTACAGTGACTATGCGGCATTCCACTTGTCAAGGCTATCGTAGCCGTATCGGAGTTCGTTCCGTGGTTGCCGTGCGCATCAAGACAGATGTGATGCCTAATGCAGCCACTCATCTTTCAGCCCTGTCTGTTCTGGATAAGACAGTTGGGGCAGCATCACAGACCTCAAAATGCGCAAGTACAGGGCTTTAGTTCACGTGGGCAGGCTGCTGAATGCCACAAAGCTTCCAACACCGGAAGCCGGTCAACCTCTCTTCCTGTGCAAGGAATATAATTGATTGACTGCTTGGACGTCGTGAGCGAGTCGGTTGACTTCGCGATTTCAAGCCAGGGCTTGGAGAGCACAAAGCGCCACGTTCTCTGATGCGCTATGAGCATGCAGCCCTGTTCGAGAGAACCATGCCATTTGGCACAACGTCACGCTCCTTCATGCACCCCTTTGACAGCTCAGTCCAAACACTCAAGCGCCAGGCGTCCCTGCCTCTAGATGCAGGTTGGGCACTGGTCAAGCGGCAGCAGGTTTGTTATGTAAGCTGGGAACACAAACCGTGTTCACATTTTCATGCATTAATAGCTACCCGTAAAAATGGGTAAACATGGGCCCTGCGTACTTCAAGACAATACAAACAGATTCAGGCAATCCGGGGAGTGGCAACTAGACGCGCTGAAGTTTGCATGAAACGATCTTTTGCTCGGCGATGTCGTTGCCGTTGCTGAGGGCGAGGTGTGCGCTGTGTTGTCCGTGCTGGACAGCGCGGAGGGTCGATCCTTGCTTAGGACATCATCGTGTAATCTGGGCGTGTGGCCGAGCCTTAAATATGCAGGTATAAGGCCGTGAAATGGCCATTTCTCTATTTACGCGTATTTAGGCATAAAAACGTAAGCGCAATAATGAAGCCGTAGATGCAAATAACATGCCTGAATGACAGAAAGGAGGAAGACCTCTTTCCTTCTCGAGACGGGACAGCAAGACAGCGGCGAGACCGCCAATGCCTCGATGAAACCGACGTGGGAGATTGGGGGCGAGAAGAGCAAACAAGAAGCACGAGAAAAGTCCTTCAAGTGATCTGTGTCTGAACTTTCTTCAGAAAAGGCATCAATAAAAGTCGCACGGTTTTAGCAATGCTCATGCAGCGATGCCTTCGTTTACTCTTTCACCGGATAGCTCTTGTTCAAAAGTTGTTCGGGTAGTAAATCTCGCCAATAAAAATCAAGCAATGGACTACAGTATGAAGCAAGACTAGTAGAGAGTAGCGAGTAGGAAAGTGTGTCGAGAACACCAAGCCCATACATCCAACATTCAGCCAGGCAACACACTATCTCACTTTAAGGCACAGAACTGCCATTGTCAAGCGGGAAATGCACAGCAAGGCTGGAAATGATCAGACCTATGCGCTTTTGTGTTTTTCATCTATGATCCTTGGACCATGAATGCAGGCAGTTTTCATCTAGGAACTCAGATCCCAGACTAGCGCGTCATGACGCTTGATCAAGCGTGCAATCCAGCTGGAAGAGACGTGCATTCAATGACTTGCTTGCAGAGAAAGTCCCAAGAAGTCCTTGCTCACGACATTCGATCCAGTAGCCGCTCGAATGGTACCGCCCATATTCAAGGTGTAGGTGCATTTCCCATAATGGAACAAGAAACGGCCCTCTATAAGGGAAGACGCTATGTCAATTTTGGTACGCTTTGCGTCAATTTGACGTTTAGCTCAGTCCCACCCACCCCCACCCCCACCCCCACCCCCACCCCTTCTTAGCATCAATCCTTATGTCGAAGCCAGGATAACTCAGCAACATTGCCTAACAGCGGTATTCAACTTCCATCTGTTTCTAAGGAGGAAAAAGGTGAAAGTTTTGCTGATTTCAGCGGGCTGAAAAATGATACTGAATGCCATCGCAGGTCAGGCAGGCAGCCTCAACGGCTGCAAATTGATCCATTCTAAGGTATTCTTTGAAGATCGAACACTTTCAATAGGCTTAAGAATATGTCAGTGGTTGTCTGCCGTTTATCAGTGGCGTTTTTGGGCATCTTCCTTCCTTATGTCGATTTCGTGGCAATTACATAATCTCTTAGCATCACAGGTATGGACCCCCCTACCCCCCACCCGCCTCCCCGCCAAGCGTACCAAAATCGACATAGTGTCCTCCCTAAGCCATATCACAGCTTGTATTGGGCGGCTACACTACGTACCATTGTCAAACAACACCCTTCCGGGGCAATTTAGTACAAGCAAGTACTGTAAAGTACTGAACCTTATGTCACTTTCCCCCAAAACAGAGTTAAGTACGCCCGGCCATACACCTATCCAGATCTGCCTTAAGCTGACATCAAAACAGCACAGAAGAGGCCCGTCAGGGACAACGTTGCCTTTCACACACTTTCTCTGAAGGCAGTGGTGGCCGACACGGACCATCCCATGCAGTGCTTGCAGTGTCTGAACTAGCGACCCTCGGCACTTTGCTTGCAGCCCAATTTGATGACGCAATTATTGCATTGCAACAGGTCGGGCTTTGCGCAAAGGCTATGAGTGAGTTGGTGGCCGCCTGTGCCGTCGAATTGTACTATGTTGCCACTTCTCACTTTTGAACATCCAACGCGAGTTTCAAGAGATGTACTCCTCTGCATTCTTTCCAGTTTGTTATTCGCTCTGCACCCCTCGCAAGCGTCCCACAAGACCAAAAGATATGACGTGGTGTTCTTGTGCAAAGTTGCTCTCATTGATCGTGGTTCAAGGCTGGTAGTGGGCTGGGGCGTTCAGCCATGGTGCTTCTGCGGCCTGGGCCGCGGGGACAAATGCACTGGCCTTTCCACTGCTGGTGTGACAAATGTTGTGGCTTCATCCATTCAGCTTTTTGTTATTGCTCCGCGTTGCCCCAGAAGAGCGTCGCTTTTTGCCACCGTCGCTCTGCTAAATTTTGCAAACACAGCGCACCTTTGCGTTGTGGTCGAGTATTATGTGTACACCTGCTCATGCACACCTGCGTGTACATAGTACATTAACCCTACCAGGATGGGAGCCTTGCATTCCGAATTCGCCTTCTCCGCCTGTAAAGTGTGGGGTTGGCCTGTGGCACCTGTCACAGGCGGAACGACAGCAATGTGACCCCTTGCATGCCGCTCCGGCGTCATGCAAAGGCCAAATCGTACTTGGCAAATGGACCAAATCGGTACGCCACGATGCCATGCACTGGAAACGTGTGCATGTGATGTGGCCGACGCTGGTAGCCAATCTGACGCTGAAGAGGACACAGTGGCCGCACAGGGCAACCTGCATTCACATAGTAACGCTGCTGAATGATGATGGTGAGCATCATTGTTGACGTCATTGTTGGGAACAGCTTCAGTCTATGGGGGAGTGTTTGTGTTTGTATGGACCACTGTCGCTGTACCAGCTGTGCATCAGCGCGCAGAGTGCTTGTCAGCGCACAACGGGCTGATGTCAGCTGATGGGGTCCAAAAGGGCAGGGCAACATAGTTCGACAGCTAACCCAGGCTCGCCAAACTTTTATGACGTCGCCGCCACGACCGCCGTGGGCAATGTGACGCACGACGGCTGTTCGCAACATTGAGCAAGGTCTCGTTACAATTCATCAACGCGCATATCTTGTAGCCGGTGAAAGGCCATGAAACACCATCCTATTCTGTCCGTGCGCCTCGCTAAGTCAGCAACAACCCCTCTGCCGGTCCATGATCAAAATGCTCATGCCCTGACAGGTTGCTGAGCCAACCCTCCAAACAGATTCAGCGGCGCGCCTATCCTTGATTGACAGACTACGTTTTGAGGGCAGCCTTCTTCTCTCTGTCAGCTATTCTCAACGGGGCGGAGCTCTGCGTTTTAAACCGGCCCCTCCCATCTTCACCGCTGGACTTCTTCTTCTTCACGATCTGCACGACGTCCTCGTCGTGCAAAGTGTGCGCCAACCCGCACCTGCCAATTCCACACAGCAAGTCCTCATAGGCCTTTGCCCCCACACCCCTTGCACACTGCACAAACAGATGGGAAAATATGAATCATAGACGATGTTGAGCAGCATCAAAGGAGTCATCGGTCACCTATGCGGCCGCTGGATGTCATCACTGTGGTGCAGCTTCCGGCGCAAGATTCAGATTTCTGTATTCAGATGACGGTCAACTGGACCGCAGAAGCGACGGCACGTCTCTTTTAGGGGCCCGGGGGGGGGGGAGTGGTCAGGAAATGTGCGCATTGCATTTCACTGCTACTAGGTCTTATATGCATCATCCGACAAGGAATGATCAGACAAAAGATCGGATAGGTTTCACAGCTGCTGTACTAATCAATTTGGGGGTAGTGGGGGCAGGCCGATGTAATTGTGAACATTTAGCTGACATTGAAAAGGAGACAACAGAAACATGATAGGAGGCTATGATCAAAAGCAGCGTGTGAACAAGTTAAAAGGACAATTGAACTGCCTGTTACTGCCTAATATATGTGCAAGGGCAGAGTTTGTGAATGGGAAAAATAAATAAATAAGCAAAAATAAATAAATAAATAAATAGACAAATAAACAAATAAATAAATAAACAAATAAATAAATAAACAAATAAATAAACAAATAAATAAACAAATAAATAAACAAATAAATAAATTTTATAGAATTCCAAGGTATTACATGCTGATCTAAGCAAGGAGCTCCCCCACAAATCCTAAAGCACAACGGGATCCTTTCCCAGCAGGAGCCGATGTAGGGTCCCAAACAATGAGATAGAACGAAAGCATCGGTGTTCGGTCAGCGTTCAGTACCCATGCGGGGGAGCCCTAACCATCAGAGAATACATACATTGAAGCAGAAGCCAACAAACGTTCACCGAGGGTAGAGAATGGGGCATGGCCGTCTGATGCGTCACCTTTGTGGAAAGTGCTTTGCGCTGGTGCCCCACACCATTGCATATTGGAATTCCTTCACAAGTGTATTGTGAATCTGCCTGCACAGCCCCTCCATCGTGGTGCCACCGCGGTCGTCAGAGAGGACGACAGGCTCCTCAAAGTCTGGCTTGTTACCAACCTTTTTTGTGTACACGCGCACCTGCACACCACAGCGTCATACACGGCTGCACACCAGTGTCAATTATTGCCTGCTCAGTGCAAGGACGCTGTTCTACCGATGAAGGCGAACGCCATCCGAAAGGAGTTCGGCCACACCATATCTTTGTGTTGAAGCTGATCTGTGATGCAGGCAGCGGCCATGCCGCATCTCGCCATCAATTGCCCGCATGCTCACCAGTGACATCATGTCCCACATCTTCTCCAGCAAGCCATCGAGGTTGAGCTTCTGGAAGCATGAGATTGGGATGGAATTGGACCGTCGTGCTATCTCGTCCACCTCCTCCATACAACAGATGTCGATCTTGTTGTAGACGTACAGGCATTTAATGTACCTGCGGTTGCCCTGGCAGAAAGGGACCAAGCGAACTTCAAGACGGCACATCTGAAAAAAGCCACCGAGCACAAGTGCACAATGATGCAGGAACAAACACCTCATCCTGGTGCCCGTCTGGCATGAATACTTCTGTTATGATTGCATAAGTTCAGTTATTTCGACAACACCTGATTGTCAACAATACTTCCGGAGTTACATTGACTAAGGTACATAGACACTGAAATTGGCCGTCACACTGGAGCATTCACCTCGATCACATCGATGAAGTCATCCACTGTGGCATCTTCACGGAATAGAACATCAGCATTGTGGATTTTGTACTCCTGCAGAATCCTCAACACCAGTTTTTCGTCCATGTGCGTCAAGGGTACTGTCTTGTTGAAGTGGACACCTCCCTGCATGGCACAACCACCCAGACACAACATGCCAGTAGTTTGCCAAGCGTCCCTTGGGCTGCTGTTGCCTCCACATGGCAAAGCAACTCCTCAAGTCAAGGAGGCGATGACAGGCGGGCATCTGTCCAAGTTTTCTGTTCGTTCTGCATCTGCCCATATCTGCCCATTCCATTTATCAACACAAAATGCGAACAGAAGCGGCATTGTACAGCATTTCCATATGCAATCATATGCTGTCCTGTCAATTTGTATGTGACAAAAAGTTAGCCTGATAGTCGCAGTTCCAACAATACACAGATAAGGCAATCAGATGTTCATTCGCCACCAACTCGAACACCGCACAGCTTTCATACAATTCCATGTGCTACCAAGCTGAACACTAGCCTTTATACTTGGCAATGCCCACTGCACAGACATGCACCAGGTGCCTCAAACCCAATACCCAATATCCTTTTCAACAAATGAATTCTAAAAGGCACAAGAGCCAGAACTTGTCTCCCAAGTTTTGCTCTTGAACACCACTATTACAGGGCTGTCTTACATGCAGGTGATGCTGATGATTTACTGTTAATTCTGCTAACAAGGGCCCAGCAGAGTGGCAAACTACTCGTCTTACACATTGAGCATTCATGCAGTCATGAACACCTTTTGGGGCTTTACATCGCCTTTCATTTTCTTGCTAGGTGGCATTAGGCCCACATCTCTTCTCTTTGGAAACGGGTGGCACCTGGACTCTTAACTAGTTGCCAAAAAGGTGGCACTGAATTCTCCAAGTCCACAGGACGAGGACACAGCACAGAATAGCACCCAGCCTAATACCGTCTTCTTCTTCTTGTAGTATATGTTCGGTGGTGGGCGATTGAGTCGAATTCCCACAGACTCCAGTTCCCTCGTAAGGATTTCCCTGTGGGCATCTGGCTTCGAGGCATCCAGAACCATCAGCAATAGGTCTGCACTCTTGCACACTGCGATGACCTGACACAACGCTCGTAAGCCACCGGCGCAACAGGAGCACTCTACATCTGGCTTTGGATATCTGTCGCAAAGTACTGACTGCGGGAAAGGCAATTGCGTATTTCAAAGTGGTACATCAGCATTTGTGGTGCAACTGCAAGATGCACACAGGCTTGAAAGGAATGAAGACACAGCGACATGGTGCAGGTCTGAAGAACATTGAAATATCCAGGTTCAGCAGAAGAGCAGCAAGTTTTGAGATGCCTCAGATAGTCTGTGCGTGTTTACAAGTGTCTCGTTGGATAAGGGAGTGCTAAAAGTTTGTCGATCACAAGTTGACAATGCTTTTGCCCTGCTATTCCATCTGTAGAAATAAAGGCACAAGGGAGTACCAAGGAGGATGTTTGTGGGGAATGCCAGGGTGGTATGTCTAGCAAGGAGCCTTGTGTTTGGGCTTGGTGAAGATGATGTGCAGCTGTCTGCAAGTAATTCTACTCAACGCGCATGGATACTCTCCAGTCAAAGTTGACGGGTTGTCTCATTCATGGTTTGAAATTCTTGTTTGATTGCATTTGTACCCCAATCAAATTGCGACAAGCTCTGAGAGGTGATGCAGGGCAACACCCGGTCAGGACCACAGGCATGCCAAGCTGACACTACAGAAGCAAAATCAAGCAGAGCATGGCTTCTGGGGCAGGGTCAAACAGATTATCGATGGCACTGTATGTATAAGAAACATACTATAACTCACCTGCAGGTTCTCGGTCCATTCAGTGGTGAATGGGAACAAAACATTGGGACTAAACACTGTTGGATGTGAACAGAACTCTATAACTACTCTTATGTGCATGATCAGCAGGTTCCAATATTTGATGAGTGGACTTCCTGTGGATCTTCACTGCGAACATGATCTCATCCACCTCAGTATGTGACTGCACCTGCCGCCCTCTTCCCTTTCCCTCAGCAGCACCCTCGATGATGCCAGGTAAATCTAGCAGCTGTATTTTTGCGTCATTGTAGTGGATCACACCAGGAATGCAAGTCAGGGTGGTGAACTCGTAGGCAGCCACTTCAGACTGGGTTCCCGTCAGATGTGTCAAGAGTGTGGACTTCCCGACAGAAGGGAAACCTGCAGCACCGCAACAAACATGCTTTGATATATATTTGTGTATTTGTTTTCTTCACGTAATCATAAAATCTCCTTCTGCTTACACTTACCAAGCATTGATCAATCTTAACAGGACCATTGCACCTGCGAGGCGACGATGGACATACAGCCATCACATCTCTTTGCTTCAATGTGTTCACTAGTTTTCCTTGTCCACTGAGGGGACCAGTGCAGAACACAGCCCGCTGGAGCAGCAGCAGGCTGGGGCTGTACAAAGACTGAAAGCTGTGAGGTAAGTTGTGGTAGTGGTGACAGTACGAACATGTGGTCAACAGCTTACTAGGGATGTGAATGGCTCACTGTATTGAGTACCTGTTGGAGCTCACACTTTATCACAATCGTACACCCTTGGCAAACCACCAAGTAAAAATGGAACTTTTTGGGAAGGACAAGGATTCAACTCAGTCCAAGCTCAAGCATGAACTTCCATATTTTGTGTGGATCGGACCTGCACATTGGCTGGAGCAAGACAAAGGCCATTTCATGCAGCAGTGCCTGTGTTGTGTGTTCTGCTGCCAACGTTTCCTTACCACAAAATAATGCCAAGCTGCAATAGTCTGGTGCAGGGGCATTTTGATGCACCAGAAGTATCTAAGGGATCGCCTCTGGGAGATGCACACATTTCGACATGCTGTCACTCCAGGCACTTTGAGATTCAGAACGATCGCAACTTTTCTAATCACAACTTTATTCAGGCATTTTGTGACTGGCTGGAAAAAACACCTTCCTGCCGCATGTTTGTCAAAGGCAACAACAGGGCTACCCACCAATAAGGGCCACTCTTCCATCCCCGTATTTCTGCACTTCGAAACCCTCACCAGCTCCACTGCCACCCTAAACAAGAGATCAGTGCACATTATTTCACAGCAAGGTAATGGGCGTTGCAGCACATATTCCTTTACGTTTTGTACCAGGTACCACATTGTGGATTCCAATCTCTCTGAGGTGCGTAACAGCAAGAAACATCAATATTCGGACCGTAGGCTCGTCGTACAGTGATCTGATACCACCATGTGCTGATCATTCCTGCTGTGGGACAAGTAGTGAATGGCAGACAACAAGGAAGCAAATGTGCCATTGCTGTGAGCCTTGCTTGTCCTGCAAAAGTGCCAGCATAACAACTGTGAACCTTGTGAAGCCTGCCATTTCTTTCTTATTCTTTTTATTGCAGCAAATGCTTTTGCCAGCCAGCCCTTTGGCACGTTTAAGCAGTTTTACGTATGTGCATCGATCATACAGAATCTGAAAACGAACAATGACGATGCAAACATGCATGCTGAGGATTTGCAGCTGCCGGAGCAGCGTCTCACCACGCTGTGGCAAATGCCACAGTGTAACTCCAACTGGTGCATACGAGCATCGTTAGTTCAGGCTGTTAGTTTAGACTTTTGTTCCTGGCTTCGTGACAGGTTGGAACATGGGTAGATGCAGCTATGTTCAGAACAGCACCTTTTTATCTGGCTCTTGTAGCTGTGTCCGCAGCTTTGCAAGCTTTGCCTTCAGCTGCCCAAGATGGTACTCCGTGGCCTGGGCACACCAGCAAAAGCCATCAGAAGTGTGATACCAGTATCAGGGTGGAGGCATACTGCTGCTTGGCATATTTGCCCAAGTCATGTATTGAGCCAAAACAACATGCACACGGTGGACACAAATGCAGGTACAGCGACTGGCAATCGCTCCTGCATGACGCACAGAGCACTGGCTGAATCTCCATGCTGGTCATGATTGTAAGATTAGATAGCAATTCCTGTTGTGTGCCATCTGGACACACATTAGCAGGTGCCCATGTGTGTAAAAGAACCCATCTGGCACCTTATTCACAGGCTCCAACAGGCCTCAACGACATTGATATTGCGGGACGCACTATCTTCATATGAACACTGCAAAAGATTACAAACAGCCCCATCCAAAGCATGCCCGATGAAGTCAAATTAAACGTTCCAATGGCATGGAGTTGCTCTGAAAGAGGCTGATTCCCAAAGTCGTAGCACATTGGGTTTAGACCAATGCACTACTGGGTGGCCAAGTACACACATTCGCCAGCCCAACAGTTATCCACCAATATCAAAGACCATCTTTGGCTGCTCATGAATGAGTCACGTTATTCGACAACATCGAGAGAGCGAAGTTGAACGGTCGGCGAACTTCTTGTGTGGTCTGCAAAGGCACAGCATTCATGTACATTGTGTACAAAACATCAGAACAGGTCAGTGCCAGATTGGAGGTTAAAGTACGTGGCCTATTAGGACTTTCTTGTCCGCGAACCTGCAGCTACATCCAGTTCTGGGACAGCACTGCCTTTGGTATTCTTATCTTGCTGCCCCCAGCCTTGTCAGAATCTTTTTTGCTGTGGGAAACAAGCTCACCTTATTCTTTTGAGTTCGGGCCATTTCGAGCTCAATCTCCTTTATCCTGAAAGGCAACCACGCAATCAAATTGTCGAATACGCTTCTGAGGCCATGTAAACTTCCTCTGGGTGTCCTGTCACCTCGGAACATCGCCGTTGCAGGCAAGCCGAGCATTCCCGCAAGTCAACGCACGAAAGCGGGCAGCGTGGGGCTCGGAGCGGCAAAGTCATGCCCGCCATGCGGAATTTTAAGCAAACTGATTGTTGGCGCAGGCAAGGCGCAAGGACGTTTACAACAGACTCAGCCCTAAATCCCCACCCCGGGGGGATCCCGTTCATTTGGAGTAGACAAAGTACCGGCCCAACCGCGCGCGCTGCAGCAGAAAGGCAACTGACTTTTCAACGATCCCCATGCTGCTCTGTGCCCCACTGCCTCCGCAGGACGCTGCCGAGTGGGATGTGTACGCTGATAGAGTCGCCGCTCGCCGCGGCGGCGTGCTGTGAAGACTGGATGCGGCAACCGGATTCCTCTGCGGAACAATTGGCCGTGTACAGCTGCCCAGGGCGGGAATTGCGCGGAGGTAGGTGTGGCAGCTGAATCGAGCATTCACCAACATCAGGGCGCGAAGCGAGTTGAGCGCCTTCTGTGGCCCATCCGAAAGTCTATCGCAGCAGAGGTGATTCAAGATGGTGGCATTGTGTTCGCCACTGGAGGAGAGTTTGCCAGTTTGAAGCTGTTCAGTTCTGGACAGTGCTTGTTGGTGGATGTATCGCAGATTCTTTGGGAGCCGCCTTCGGAGCACCAAAGCTTGAAGCGTCATACCGTTCTGGACGGACCCTTTCAAGTTGTGGCGGCAGGATTATGTTCGAATCGTGATGGTGGTTTCAACTGGAAAGGTGCCAGATTTGTCATGTGGGCCATGTGGATGTGCACGCCTGTTGTTCCCGTATGGTGCATGTAGCACACACATTTCACCTGGGTACGAGTTGTGTTGATCATCAAGTCAAAGGTTTGACGAACAAATGTGAATGAGGCATCGCTGGTGTTGTTCGGGAATTCTGAATGTTCGTTATAGGGAAAGAGCCTCAAACTCGACCCTGATGCTGGGTTATGCCCTGTGTCTACATAATCGTATTTTGCAGATGAGCAAGTATGGGTGTCAACACCGAAGGAGGGGGTCAGCCTATGTATAAGCACAATAAAAAAAATTACAGGTTGCACATTGCTACTTCCCCTTGAGCCCCTTCCCAGCGCCTGGTGCTGCAGGGCGGAAGACGATCACACTAGCCATGCCGAATTCCACGTGACACATGAGCTATACATAACAACCATGAACCACCCGCTATACTTTGTGAATTTATCAGCACGTGCAGATGCGCATAATAGTTTTTCTTCACTTCTTTCCACTCTTTTTCTCTTTCAAGTTCATAGTCGGACATTGAAAGGGGTCATTATATAATATAAAAGCGGTCTAATCTACATCCAACCAGGGCTGAAATAGGCTCTCTTGTGATCGCAATGTTTGAGTCCCAAACCAGCCAAGACATGCACTCCGCAATGAACATGCAGCACTAGAATAGAGATAATTTTGTGTTAGTGGTGAGATATGAACTATGCCATTGCTCAATATTGGAATATTGGTGCCTAAGTGCAAAGGCAGAGTATACTATCCCCTTATTTTGTGAGATATTTGCACAAGCTGTACTATCCTGACATTGCACTTGGCCTTCTGGACTCCCAGAACTTGTGGGCATATTTAAAAGGGGAATCATTGTGTCCTTAAAGGGCAATCCATCGCAATTCAGGGTCTAATCTTGGAGTCGCAGTTACAGATCTACTTGTATTTGTGACATCTATGGAAGAGCATACAAATGGGTCCATAGACAGGTTTTACTTTTGGATTTGGGGATCATTATCAGGATTCAATTGTTACATTGAGTTAGCTTGAATAAGAGATGTTTGTGTCAGCCAAAGTATAAAGAAACTTGGAACTTGCAGTGCAAGTTCTACTTACGTGAAGTACAGGTTGATTGTTGTGGAAACACTTGGGGTAGATGTAGTGGACCATTATTTTTCTCATTATCTTTAGATAATGGTGTGCAACTCCATATTTATAGCATAATGGTTTGATTTACCTCTTGGCCTTTGTTGTCTAAATATGCAGATGTATGAGTGACTTAAAGGTGCAGAGCATTGTACTGCAGCCTGGATAATGGGGGCCGAGTACGGGGGGTTTGTGGAGCTGTTTTGGTGGTGACCGGTGGCCCGTTTTGTACAGTGCATTGTGGTCGTGTCTTAATATACTAGCACACTTGGAGGTGTGACGGTCGGACGGGTATTTGGATGCAAGGGGCGAATTGTCTGACTGTAATTGTTTTTCCTGGCTCACTGCCGACTCCCGCGGGGGCGACCGCGCGCCCCCGCTGTCTCATGACCGTTGCTGCCACCGGCCTAAGGACGCAGGCCTTGCGACCCCGTGGCCCCGGGCCCTGGTGCGTACTCCGAACAAGCGTGCGCCCCGATTACGCCGGATCTGCACGCCATCGGGCGGAGATCCGAGGTCACCCGTAAGGGGTGGACCGGGCGACGGCAGGCGCGTGCCGGCTCCAACGAAGAAAACCACGTCAAGTGGTTTCGGAGCAAGGCAAGGCCGGAAGTGTTGAAGGCCGGCAACGGAGAGTGCTTCGGCGTCGCCCAAGAAGTGGGGCGCATTGATTTTCGTCTTTGGATCCCGGAGGATGATGCCTAGGCGCAGCCCCACTACGAGGGGAATTGCACCGATGACGGCGTGAATTGACTCGAGAGCACAAGAGCGAACGGCCCTTAGAGGCCATGGAAACGGCTGCGTGGAGGAGGAGTTCTTTTCGACTGCAAACAACGGCGCAGCTAGCTGCGAGATGGCACGGAGGAGGAGCATTATTCGGCGGAGGAAAACGGTGCCCAACGGCCGGGCAATCGGCTTAATCGGAAGAGACAACGCGCGGACCACGGGGGAACGTCGCGGCCCATTGCGAGGAGGATCCTCAGCGCTGGAGGGTGGCCATGAAGCCAGCAAGGAGCGAGTAAGGCGGACGGAGGTGCGAATGCACGAAAAGTGCATTTCGGCGACCCGCGAGCATGGCCCGTCGTTCGGCGGCCATGCAGCTCCATCGAACAAGGGGATCAAGTCCCAAGGAGCAGCCACAGCATGCCCAACGGGGCAGTGTGGCAGGGAGCCGAGAATCGGCGCTGCAATGCCGAAGGAGCCGTGTGGAAAGGAGCAGCGCCTTGGAAGGCGCAACCGTCCCCGTCCGACCGCTGGCGACGGCGGAATCGGGCGGATTCTGGAGGATGAAAAGCTGGCGCAAACGGCCAAACGAAGGCCGTTGGATCTGCAAGGCGACGCGCGGATTGGAGGTTACGGCGCGGAGGAAAAAGAGAGGCATGGAGTAGCTTCGAAGCTGGACACCGGGCTCCATTCAAGCCCGATGAAACAACGCGGAGCTGCGCGACCATTCGACGATGGTCTTCGCCAATGGAGCGTTGAAAGGCGAGGTGTGGACCGTCTCCAACGAGGCCCACACCGGCGGAGCAGCGTCGCGGCCGGCGCGATCAAGGGGAATCAAAGCCGGGCAACGGCGGGCTCCATCCGAGCCCGGTGCACCAACGCGGCGCGGCGCGGCCATTCAACGATGGCCAGCGCCAATCGAACGACCAAAGGCGAGGTGTGGGCCAACTCCATCGAGGCCCACACCGGCGGAGCAACGTCGCGGCCGGCGCGACCGAGGGGAACTGAAGCCGGGCACCGGCGGGCTCCATCTGAGCCCGGATCTACAGCGCGGCGCGGCGCGGCCACACGAACGTGGCCTGCGCCGACGGAGCTTCGAGATGCGCTGAATCGCCGGCCACTTGCGCGGCCTTCGCCGGCAAATCAACGGCGCAACCGATGCGCCTGAATGGAGCCGTTCTGGGGCAAGGCGCCGGGCTCCATTCGCGACAGGAAAAAGTGGATGCCGCGAGGCGCGGCCGGGCGAGCGCGGCCTGCGCCGATGGATCGTCGAGAGGAACGGCGTGGGCGGTCCACAACGAGGCCCACGCCGGTGGAGTGACTCTGCGGCCGGAGAGACCGAGGGGGAGCCGTTCCCGGGCAGCGCGCCGGGTTCCCACCGAGCCAGGAGGCCCGCAGGCGGCCCAGCAACTCCGCGGAGCGCCAGTCGGACTGGCGGAGAGAGGTGGGGGGCTGAGTCGGACCGGGTTGCCGTACAGGGCAGACCGGTGACCTGTGAGACAGGGGGGGACGCCCTTACTGTCCAATCAAAGGGCTGTTGATTGGTTTACTGGAATTTGATGGATTTTGTGTGAAAGGCTGTGGTCCGCAGCACTGGGCCTTGGATTCTGCCAATGTACTGCGGCTAACCTAAAGGCCAAAGTACTGTGGGATTTGGGGAGTGTGAGGACGCCTGAACCAGTGCCGGGACCGTGACAGCGTGGGTGGGAACTGCGTGCTGTGCTGTGCGGGTGTGCTGTGCAGCTGTGCCATGCAGCTGTGCTGTGTGCTGCGCGGCTGTGTTGTGTTGTGCTGCGCAGCAGCTGTGTTGTGCTGTGCGGATGTGTTGTGTGTGCTGTGAAGTGAGTTCTGAGTGAACATGGGATTTCAAAGATAGAAACAAAGGGATTTTCCAGGGACAATCTGTATAAGTGGTCAGTCCCATAATCAAAAGGGGGTGAATCACTTAATTTTGAATGGATTGGTGAAGAGTGCATTGAGGGGCACAGTAAGTGCTAATTTTGGGTAAAGAGTTGGGGGATGATGCCCAAAGTTTTGAATCATGCCGTGACTCCACTAATAAATCATTGCAAGTGGCACAGAATTCTGTTGAGTGTGGGCATAGTGATTCCAATCTCAAAATAGGTAGATAAAAAATGATGAACGATTATAATTGATTAGTTTCTAAGATAGCCACAAGAAAAGTAAAGTGGTATATGAGATTGGCCCACAAAATGTGGCCATTGTAAGCGGTTTAGGGTTAGCAGCACTGGACAGTGATGGTGTCTTGGTGTGC